CACGAAAATATGTATCTGCTTCTGTTAGTTTCGTTTCAAAAAGTTTCTTTGAAAAATTTAACACTTTCATTGACTTCGTTTTCATTTTTTATAACCTCGGCATAACTAGAAGAAGGTCATGATGACATTTCACATGAGAAAGTTGAAAGTAATTGTGGACCTGATGTTTGTATTCAAGCTGAACTCATACACATATACTGTATAACGATTGTTGAAAATAGGTTGGTTAAAGGTGTATTATTTTGGTTATAAATGCGACTCTTAATGGAGGAAAAATTACAAGACAATTTAAATTTCTATTAAACTCCTTTAAGTTTCATGAGTCCTGTTATGAGATCTGACAAGATGTTAAATAAGCAGAATGTATTGTTGTTGATATCAAATTCTGATTTATTACAGTCCAAACAAGGGAGAAGAGAAAATTGTTCAGACTGGTTTTCTATATAATGATCAATTTTGAAGGTGATATCAATATCTATATTATAATTGGGTTTATATGTGATATGATCACAGATATATGTGGATTCAACTGGATCAAAATATTCAATCCAGTCCCTAACACAATGTTTTTTATTTAAAGGATGGTGTGAATCTATATAGGTATTGGAAAACCATGAAGATGAAAGTTTAAATGAATTATTTGAATTCACTATCATGTTTTCTATTAATTTGTATCAGTTAGGCTGTTTTTCCCTACTGACATTGGTAAAAATTCCAATCATTGACCATTCTAAGATAACATTATTATGTGTATCTATGATTTGATCAAGGAAAAATAAATGTCAGTGATGTAGACTTTTGATTGAGAACTTATAAAGCTTGTTATTATTTAATACTATTTTAATAGAGAAATTATTATCTTTTCATTGAAATAATTCTTGTATACAAGGACTTTGAAAATTAATTTCAAGAGAATGTACTGTATTTAAAATCTGATCAAAAAGATTGTTATTTGTTAATATATTTGTTGATTCCCAATTTGCAAGTTGAAGATCTTTGAGGTGAATAAATGTTGAAGTATCCACAGAACCAGTATCATTAAGTCTATGAATAAGTCCATTAATTTGTAATTCATTTTGTAGTTCTGAAATACTCTTAAGATTGTATATTCCTGAGTAACGAATTGCACTGTTGGAGATGGTATAAGTAACTTGAATTGAATTTTTGAAAATTTGTGAGTATTTTGCTATTAATCTTTTACAAATAGATAAATTTATGTGACTATTTATCATTCTATATTCAATTCTAGAAAGTAAAATTTGACTTATTATATAATGAACTTGTTTATTTGTCATACTTTTATATCGAATAATCCTAGTAATTCGATCAATTTCCCTTTGTACTAATTCAACTGTATTCTTTTTATGACTTTTTTCTCTAAACCATACTTCAAGAAATTGTACAAATTCATGTTTAGAGGTTGCATGCACCTCATCCCTATCTTGTCCTATATATATGGGATTTATTTTTTTTTCTTTGAAGTTAACAGCAATAACCTGTAATTTGGAACCATTTACTTGTGAATCATTTGCATGGTAAAATTGAGTAGCATCATTAAGAATAACTTGAAGGTTGCTTTTGGATAATACTATCCAAGTGATGTGATCCATATAAGCTAAATATGCCTTATGTACTGTAAGTGACTTGGTAATAGGAAATTTTATATCTGGTCTCCAAAAAGAATGCATAGTATAACCATTATTAATTTTACATAACAAGGGATTATAAAATATATGCCAAAGAAGAGGTAAAATGATCTTTCCTTGATCTATTCCATCTATACATGTTCCCAAAATTGATTTTAGATTTTTGAGATATTTCGACTTTTTGAGATTTATGTAGAATCTAGTATAGAGAGTAATATAGTTTATCTGCGGTATAAAGGGTATCAAAAGGATATAAATACAGGTCTCTTTAGTCTTGATTTTTCATCAGTTAGTTCAGTCAGTTCAGATTAATTAGTTTAGTTCCAGTTAAAGTTTAAGTTCCTTAATTATAATTCTCTAATTTATTCTTTTTAATAAATATTATTTTTTTTATCATTTCTATATACTTATCTTTTATTATTTATTATTATATATCTTAGCTATTTCTTATATTTCTTGTATTTATTTTAATAAAGTTAATATTAAAATAAAGTCTTCATATAATTTATCAACTTTGAATCTTTTACATATACACCTTGTTAAGTTACAAACTAACTTGTTGTTGTAAAAATTCCATTACAATAAAGAATTCACTCCTAAGTTGACCCTCTTCCCTAACTCTGTAATTTGTTATAATTGATCAAGTAGGATCAATTGGAAATAGCATGATAATTACATAACCTTTTGTTAATTTTTGTTAGAGAAGATTCTCTATCCTTCAGAACATTGTCACATTGAGCATGTGACAATATATCTATTTTTTATATTATTATAATTTTTTTCCTAATTTATTATTAAATAATTAAATTATTTTTTTAAAAAAATAAAATATTAAAATATTAAATATGACTATAAAGATAATCAAATCCTTATAGAAGAGAAAAAAATTATATTTATTGCTCATTAAAAAGACATGAGCTTTTCATCTCATTTAAGAGTTTGTTTTGCTCATTTAAAAGACATGAGCTTGTTATCTCATTTAAGAGTTTGTTTTGCTCATTTAAAAGACATGAGCTTGTCATCTCATTTAAGAGTTTATTTTGCTTATTTAAAGATGTGAGCTTGTCATCTCATTTAAGAGTTTGTTTTACTTGTTTAAAAGACATGAGCTTGTCATCTTATTTAAGAGTTTGTTTTGCTTATTTAAAAGATATGAGTTTGTCATCTCATTTAAGAATTTGTTATTGTCTAAAAATTTTTTAATCTGAAAACTTGAATAACTAAATATTATTGATCAAGAAAAAAAATATATTATATATTAATCTAAAAAATAAATAAGATATTTGTGAAGAATACAATAAATTTCAAGATCACTTTGAATTATCCCATCAAGTTCACAGGTCATGGAAGTCATCAACAGTATCCTTTCCCACTTAATGTAAACTTCACAAGATATTCACTTAAGAAAAATTTAATTAAAAAAAAATAATTATAATTTCAAAATGTCATCTTTATTATTATGAACTGTTTAATAATAATAAGTAATTAATTAATTAAATATATTAATAATATTAATTTAATTTAACTTTTCTTATCAATTATTATCATTATTATTATCATCTTATTATATCATCATCATAATCACTGTTATTATTATTGTAAATTATTTTTTTTAATAACAATAAATAAATAAATAAAATGAATAAATAATTTATTTATATTAATTCAACTCTTATCAATTATTACTATTTAATTATCATCATTATTATTATCCTCTTATCATCACCATCACTGTTCATCATTATCATTGTCATTATAATCATCATTATCATCATGATCACTATTATTATTATAAATTGTTTAATAACAATAAATAAATAAATAAAATTATTAATTATATTAATTTAATTTAACTCTTATCATTATTATTATTATTATTATTATAATTAATATAAATTGTTTAATAACAATAATATATAAATTTATTTAAATAAAATAAATAATTAAATTAAATAAATTAAATTAAAGCTCACTTCTCCCATTCACCTTCCATTCACCTTGCTTCTTCCATTTACCTTGTTTCTCCTATTTATATTTTTAATTATAATTTTATCTAAATATATTTAAATAAAATCAATAAATAAATAAAATTAAAAATAAATAAATTAAATTAAACCTTGCTTTCCCTATTCATCCTGTTTCCCTATTCACTATACTTCCAATTTACTTCACTAATTTCATTAATTTTATTGATTTCATCCATTTAATAATGTCATATCTGTTATACCTTTTGATTATTCCACTTTTGTCTTTTCCTCTTTATTTAAATTATTCAAATTATTGTTATCAAAAATATTTTCTTCTTTCAATAAATTATTTAAATTGAAATCATTATTACCTAGGTCGGCCTCAACAATTTTGGTATTATCTGGAGTTGAATTCATAATATCTTGACAATGGATGAATATGTTCTCTTCTTGCAGCTGCGGCAGTTCGTCAAGTTATTCAAATTATTGTTATCAAAAATATTTTCTTCTTTCAATAAATTATTTAAATTGAAATTATTATTACCTAGG